GAGGGATTTAGGTTTATCAGGAACTGGGACCTTTTGGAACTGCAGGAACCTGCATAGGAAGGATAGTCTCCACCAGAACCAAAAGGGTACCAAAGTGCTGGCACATGACGCTAAAAAGGTGGTAGAGAAGCTTTTAAACTAAAAACTGGGAGAAATCTGACAGGTGTGGAATGGTACACAGTTCCAATTTTTACACCTTAAGGGGTAAAATGAGAAACAATGGAGATAAGAAATAGGGAGGGAGTACTTGAGTGAAATGCAGAGAAGACAGGAACAAACATTTACTGATAAAAAAACCAAACACAAGTAGCTAACCAGGCAACCAGAAATAGCATAAGTGTTTTTGTTCTAATGCTGGAAATCTAAGGTCCAAGATTGGGGAGACTGAATGCTTAGCAATAAATAACAGTATTGGCATGATATGTATCTCATAAATGTGGTGGAATGAGGAAAAGCCATGGGATGCTGTAATACCAGGATACAAACTATACAGAAATGATAGAATAGGTCATATTGATGGGGGAATGAGCACTCCATATCAAAGACTGAATCAAATCAAACAGGGTAGATTTTTCAACTGATAAGATAGGTACCCTATAATCTCTGTGGATACAAATTCAGTGTTTCAATATGAAAAAGTACATCTGGGGATAAACTACTGACCCCCAGACTAGAATGGTAGTAGTGAGCTAGAAATGCTTAGGGAGTTGAAAGAGGCTGAGAAAGCAGAAAACACGGTAATAACGAGTGATTTCAACTATCCACAGATAGACTAGGTTAATCTCACCTCAGGCTGGGATCCAGTGATCAAATTTCTTGACATTATAAAAGATTGCTTTCTGGAGCAATTTGTCCTAGAACCTACAAATGGAAACTCTATTCTTGACATAGTCCTAAGTAGTGCACAGGATTTGGTGCAAACAGTAAGTGTTACTGAGCCACTTTGCAACAGTGACCACAATGCAATTGGGTTTCAAATCCATACAGGAGGGAAGACAAGAATTCTACCATAGTAACCTTTACCTTTAAAAAGGGAGACAAAACCAGAATGACAAAGCTAGTTAAACAGAAATTAAAGGGGGTCCCTAAGGAGGTGAAGAATTTGCAAGAAGCATGGGAACTGCCTATGAACATGGTGGGCACAGACAAATTTTGCCTGATCTCGCCACAGAAAGCAGTCTATAGCTGTGACCAAATACAAGTGCACAACTGCAGAGTATTTAAAAAATGACCTATCAGGTAAAAATCTGAACCATCAATGCATGTGGTCAGGTGAGGACATTTCAAAACAGCACCTTTCTAACTTCTGTCTGCACTGCCTCCCCAGCCTGTCACTCTTCAGAATGGGAGGGGGGAAAGGGAGTTAAGGGAATTTGGTCTGGGGGTTTTTCAGCCCCTGATGAAGGTGGGAGCAGGGCTCCAATTCACCCACTTCGCCCTCTAGCACAGGCTGGGGAACCCCTAGAACAAGTTCCCACTCCTCCCTTTCCCCCCTCCCATTCTGAAATGGGGACCCACTGGGAGACAGGAGGGGCCATTGCTAGGGGAAGCCAGCTGCAGGCTCCCAGCCAGAAGCCAGATTCCCCTCCCCTGGAACCAGAGTAAACTTCTGTTTGGTCCAGGTTGATCGTTGTAACTCAAAACGCCCCTGCAAAGCATTCTGTTACAGTGGGGAGCCGCATTTCTGTCTGCACCCCATATTGGAGGCACAGAAAAAATGCATACTGGAGACCAAAGGCTTCTTTGAAAAGATGGAAGACAAATCCTAGTGAGGAAAGTAAAAAACAGCATGAACTCTGGCAAAATCAACTATAAAACAAAATCAAATATTAAAATATAATAAGACAAGCTAAGAAAGAATTTGAGGAAAAAATTGCCAGAGACATAAAAAGTTAACAATGAACTTTCCTTTAAAATACAAACCAAAGACTTGCCAAGGAGTCAGTTGGGCCTTTGGCTGATCGGGATGTAAAAGTGGCACTAAAAGAATAACAGGACATTTGGTAAGAAACTACTGTAAATGCGTTATTTACATCTGTCTTCACTGCGGAAGACGTTAAGGAGATTCCCTTGCCAGATCTGCTCCTCTTTAGGGACAAGTTAAAGCAGCTGACCCAAACTGGGGTTTCAATAGGTGAGGTTGTAGAGAACATTGATAAAATAAATAGTAGCAAATCACAAGGATCTGATGGTATTTACCCTAGGGTTCTGAAGGAATGCAAATTGTAAAATCCTGAATCCCTAACTGCAATATACAATCTGTCACTAAAAACAGCCTTAGTACCAGCAGACTCGAGTACTGCCAATGTAGCTCCCATATCTTAAAAAAAGGCTATAGAGGGGATCCAGGAAGCTGCAGGCCAGCAAGTCTAACTTCTGCTCCTCGAAACCTGGTAGAAGCAATGATGATGATGGGAATGTCTACATGTGATGCTACGTTGCTGTAGCAATGCACTATGGTGACATAGCATCCACAGGTATCTACACGTGACCTGCAGCTACCTTTCCATAGCAGTTTGCTCCCTCATTATAGCATGCTGTTATGGTGAAGCAGCCGCTAAAAATAACCACGTAGCACTCGTATGGGTGGCTACTGAGCCAGTACTAAAGCACAGTGCAGTAACAACATCACTATAAGGCAATGTGTAGATGCACCTGATAGGCAGAAAAAATGGTTTAATACTCTGGCATTAAAGGCTCCAACCCTGCAAAAAGATGCATATAAGCAACAGTGACACTAGTGTGCAGTCCCATTGAACACAACGGGGCCCTTCAACTTAGTCACTTGGATAAATTACTCAGAGCAGTTTTAAATGAGGCCATAATTCCCTTCAAATTCTGGAATACTTGCAGTGTTTCCTGCTGCCTCTTTCTTCGCAGTTTTCAGACATGGACGTTTCATTTTTGTCAGAGTTTTACTTCTCATTATCCTTTTGTATTGCTTGATCTTGAACTCATGGTCAATATAGACAGAAGTGTCTTGCCCATTATTTTCAACTCAAGTATGGTTCAAAGCTGACCTTAACTGAATTAGCACGAGGCAGTTCAGCAGCTTTGGCAAGCATTTTCCTTCCCTGCTGCTGCCACTGTCTGACCCCCAGCAAATAACTGACAATAGTCTTAGACTAATTTTATTTTATTTTTTAAACAATATTTGCATTTGTGCATTTGGACAAATAATGTGCATTTCTAATGTGATTTAATATGGCTGAGTTATAAAGCCCTTGACGGTTAATAATGGACATGCTGGCTGACACTTGAACATAACAGTGATGCTACATGACCTGCTGATACATAAAGAAAAACTTATTCTTTTTAGAAGATTCTAATTCTTTTCCATTACTGTTCTTATGTACCGTAGAAATATAGTTTGATAAAGCAAAGGGACAGCACAGCCTAATACAGAGTACATCATGACAATATTTATTATTTTTTAAAAGCTACATCAGGAAAGGCAATTTTAGGTTTTAATATAAAATTGCTTCACCTTCCATAGCTGGCTCAACCTTTTATAAGATGACAATGTTACAGATTTTTAAAAAAATCTCATATGCTATATATCAACACTATCATAAAGCCAGCACTTTATTTCAGGAGGCAGCAAATAAGAATGACTCATATTTACCTACACAAAGGTTTCACTTCAAAGATAAATGACAAAGAGAACTATTTTATTCTTTTAGCTCCCTTTCAAGGTTGGCTACATTTTTTTCTCTTTTTTCTATCTTTAAATGTAATGGTAAAAAACCACTAACAAAAATATCTTCTCTGAAGCAGTGTCAGTGTAAGTAAGTGAATCTTGTATCAGATAGAAAACAAATGTTTTCTAATTGTACCTGAGAATTGCATGAAACCATTGAGCTTTATAGGACATGGAACAGGATGGTCAACTCTAGGAATTTAATGGTGTCAGCGTCCGGTTAGAAAATTATACAAGGAGTCCTGAGTAGAGATGAATTATCTGAGATGGATGCAAATATGCTAAATAATTAGCATGAACAATAGTTTCCCCCTCCCCCCCCCCTTTTTAAGGTTCATGCAAGTGGATACAATAAGATGTAAATCATATTCTAATGTGGACTACTGCTTACTTTTTTCTGGTGTTCCAGCTGTAATATAGCAACTTTAGAGTTGTTCTAAATTATTTTGCTACTTATATACAAAAGGCAATTTGTGATGTCCTGAATTATGCTCAATTTTGACAATGATCTAACCCTGTGACTTGCATCCAAAAGGAAAGTCTCCCTTTAGCAAACTTTATAACATCAAAGGCTGTAATGGGCAGAGACACCCTCTGAGATGAAACTGGGCCTGTACATTTACTGGGATGACTCTAAATTTAAATCCAAAACATGGTGAGTTTTATTCCAGAATTTGGTCTTAGACTTTTTAATAAATTAGGAGTCATTTCCAAGATTCAGATAAGGATCTAAATTCTGTACAGCTGCCAAAAGGAATCAAGATGGGATTTGGAACATGGGTTGAATTGACCCCTTATTTTAATACACTACTGGTTAACCTATTTAATTGCTAAGAGTTGTTCCTTTGACTCATCCACAGTAAATTATAGCTAAGTACAGACATGTATAAAGCCCCTGGTGGAAGCACTCTAGCTATCACACTTTACTTAAA